TTTTGATTGGTCAATATTCAATGGAATGTTTGTAATTGAACCAAATATTACTTTTGGTAACTCTTCATAGTTTACTTTTGTAATATCATCGAATTTCTACACCCAATTGCTCAGTGTATCGGCTCCAATTGCTATTCGGTACATCAAAGTCAAGTAAGGTTTCTCTGATTACTTTTTGTCTCGGTCATACGAGGCTTTGATAGTCCGGACTGAAGTATCATAACCCTGTACTGGAAAAGCTGTCTTCTATTCCTTTAACATGATGAGAAATGCAAATGTTGATTTGACAGTCACCAAAAACATCAATAATTTCGACCACACACATTTATTCTAACACAAATGACCATATTTCATCACTGAAACGTCGAGTTCATGCTTTCAATGCAGAAAATGGGTATCCCACAACTGGGTACATGACTGTCCCAAAACCAGAATCAGACACCATTTTGGTTGTGATACAAAAAAAATTTCAATGCTCATATATTGATAAAAACAACTTACTCATGATGAAATTTAGTCCTTAAACTATGTAGGGGAAGGTGGGGAAATTCGCAACACACACATCGAAATAATTTAATAAAATTCTAAAAATTCGATGAATGAAAATATCAATGAAAATAATTTCGGGACGGCTAGCGGTCATAACGTTCTTCATTCTAAAAAATTAACATTTTTCCAAATTCTAAAGTGGTACGACTTAGTAAATGTAAAAACCTAACTTTTGGCACTTGTCGCTTGTTGAAATTCGAATCGGTTGAAAAAATGTACCCTGTTGGCAAAAAACCCTTGATTTTGCGATTTTCAAAAATGGTGGGGAAATTCGGAACACTTCATGAATGGATAGAAAACTGAAAATTTTTTGATGCAAAACGTTTATTGAGTACTAGGAACAGACAGAAGAATTGATTTTAATGAGGAAAAAGTTCAAAAATAGCAATTGTTGTTAGTCGGATCTGTAATTGTTGCCTGTGAAATAGCTACCAATCATTTTGGTGCATTTCAAGTGGACAGCTCGATCTTTATCGAGTATTTTGTCAAAATTTTGCATGAAATATAATAAATATGCATAAAAAAGCGATATCAACTTGAAAAGTATTAAAAATCACTTGATCAATTTTTCGTATGTAGGGCGTTCCGAAATTCCCCACTCACTAAGGTTTACAACATAATCTTGTTTTGGTCACTCAATGAATTTCCATGCAAAATTCCTTTTGTGAGTCGAAATATTAATGGTATACGATAATTATAAACATATTCGTCTGAGTTGATTTTTCGAAAAATGTTATGGAATCAATGCAGACAGGCATTCTCAATATTAAATTTTCATGACTTGATTTCATGTCGATGACGCACAGTACGTACACACTCGTTGAGTGCTAATGGAAATATGAGGTTTTGTTCAGAGAAAACGATGACAGTTGTTCACATGTCTCAAACTATTCATTTGCGGCGAAATTTGGCGGTGTTCCGAATCCCCCACGTTCCGAATTCCCCCACCTTCCCCTATATCACTATTTTATTGATCATTTTTCCCAGTGAGACAATGATTTAAAAAAAGTAGTACTTGTGGCGGCACCTAGCGAGTCCATACAACTTTCATATAGTTTGTTTATTGAAAAAATGGTAGGGGAAAATGTGGAGGGGAAGCAGTTTATTGAATGTAAAGGCATACACGTTCCACTCGCCAGGAGGCAGTGTAAACTGACTTTTCGATGACATTCAATATTAAAATATGCAAACATTGTTGCACTGTTTTTTCATCAAAAATTGAGAAAATATTACTTCTCAAAAGAATTCTATGAAATTTTTTTTACATTTTTCAACACATCGGCTGGAAATAATATAACAAATGCATATATTCTGCTCAGAGTCGCACCAAAAGTTTGATTACGGATATAAAACAACATTACAATACATCATTTGGTGTTAGTACCACATAAGTGTCATAATAATCGACTGTCCCACAACCGGAGCCGTCCCACAACCGGAGCCGTCCCACAACCGGAGCCGTCCCACAACCGGAGCCGTCCCACAACCGGAGCCGTCCCACAACCGGTTACATTCCCCTATTTTTATTATAAAAATATTCGAAACTGACCAGAGTAAATTGGCATTTTCACAAGAGAACTTAATAGTTTTACCATAAGTTATTTTTATTTTTATTACCTCTTTTTGTGCTGTTCTTACCTTTTGGATCTTTATTTTATTTGATTAAATTATTGTGTTATAAACGCACACGTATAAAGTACGTAGAATGCTAAACTGTACAAAGAGACACCTGATCTTTTCTTCTTTGTACAATTTAGGGTATACAGTAGATAATTTGATTTTACACAAATATTGGTTCTCGACTAGTTAAAAAATACTGATTTTGACCAGATAAGAAGATGTCTGTAGGAGGCCGATTTGTCAACGGTCCAAAAATTCCTAACTTAAACGTGCAAAATGAAAGGCCTGTTGAAGCGTTAAACAGTGTAGTTTCGGTCTGAGTGACACCAAAAGTCATCGTTAAATTTATCAAAGAGGTGATAAATTGAAGAGAAGTTTTACGCTCAATCTAAACAGGTCTCTATTGGTAGTTTTGAATTTACAATTCATGTCGAGACCAAGAGATACAAACAATTTAAATTATTCTTTGTAAGACAAATATTGACTTAACTTAATTAGTTTTCATTACATTATGCGGCAACGCAAGCAGGAAAACATCGTGCGATATTTACGTAATATCTGCCTTATGTGATATTGAAAATATGCGTTTTCGGCACATTGATTAACAGATATTTCATGATAATATTTAAAGTGTAAGTCGCTTTGATTTAATTTACGTTTCACTTTAACCCTCGTACGGACACCTTTTTTAAAACCTTCGAACGGACTCCTCGGGTCTGGCTGGACTCCTATATATTTACATGAATTTGTATGGGAATATGTGATGCATGCCATCTTATTTTTCACGGAACTGATAAAAGATAAATGATATCTGTCTTCAGCAAAGTTGTGAAGTACTACAACTTTTCTGAAGACTCCTTCTCCTTATCTTTGATCAGTTCCGTGAAAAATGATAACAAAAAATCGCGTTTTTTCGCGTAACTGATGAGAGATAATGGCTTGGTGTCTTCGGTAAAGTTGTAATATTCAAGGTCTCCTACAAATTTGTTGAGGACAGATATCGCTTATCTCTTATCAGTTACGCAAAATACGCAAGAAACCAAAAAAAATCCGTGATATAAACGCATTTTTTCTTATCATTTTTAACATAACTGATAAGAGATAAGACACCATCTTCTTATCTTCATAAAAATCGTAGTACTTGATCTGCTCTACAACTTTGCTGAAGGCACATATAGAGTACGCTAACAAATATTTCTGTCAGCTTGAATAAAAATATCAGATATTCTTATGCAATATTTTGTTGCATGCACCAAGCGACACGCTGCATCGTTGTTATGTCTGTACGTGTTGTGTATTCGTTGTTATGCGATCGTATTTTTTATGTGTATAACGATTACGGTTCATACGGTCAGTCCACGTATACACTACATAGCGATGTAACACAGCGACGTCCACTCAGCAGCAATGCATAGAGTCGAATACAGCGTGTCGCTTGGTGCATGCAACAAAATATCGCATAAAAATATTTGATATTTTTATTCAAGCTGATAGAAATATTTTTTAGCGTGCTCTGGACGCATATCACATATCTTTTACACAGTATACACAATGATTCTAGCAATGTTGAGATTTGACATTTAACTTGGTTTTAGTACCATTTGCTCTCGAAAAAATTCAAAAGTTCTATAATAAATACATGAAGCTTTGATTTGTGATTTAGTACATTTTGAACTTTTTCTAGTACAAATGGTACTTAAATGGATTTTCGTGCCAAATTTCATATTGCGGTTCTAAAAGTTAGAACAATTGTGTTTACTGTGTATCAGTTCCGTGAATATTGAGAAGAAGATTTTTCCATATTTTTGCATTTTATACGCGTATTCCGCGGAATTGATAAGATATGAGTGATATCTGTTTTTGGGAAAATTGTGATCATAGTGTTGAAACCGTTATACATACCAATAAAAATTAGTTCTAATACATCACATATTCCCATACAAATGCAAGTAAATGTATAGGCAAGATCGCTTAATAAACGAAGAAAAACGACACGCAGCCCTCTAGGCGAGGGACACCCAAAACAGTCATCGTACATATATATTGAGCGGGCACTATCGATGCGTTCATTTGTGTGAGTGCGATTGTGTAAACGACAATGTTCGTGTTCAATATATGTACGATGAAAGCTTCGAGCATTCCACGCGTAGAGGCGTATAAGAAGAAAGCAACCTTGGTAGAGGGGTACAGCCAGACCCCAATAGTTCATTCGAAGGTGTAATTTTTATATATCCTTATATCATCCTTTTTAAGGTCTTTTCAACTGGGGGTTTTTATATTGAACAAATTTATCAGTTTCACTCCGAATTTTGCGACTCCTTCGAATTTTCAAATAGATCGCAAATTATCTGGCAAATTTGACGAATTTTGCGAATTGTTTCTGTAGAGCACACGAATTGTGTTCCAGTATATTTTGAACATAGTGTGCAATGTATTTTGTTGTTGTAATATACATCCCAAATATCATATTGGCAGTGCGAATTTTTACGAATTCTCCCGAATTCGTTTTGAATTTATCGAATTTTTTATATTTTTACTCATTTTGGAGAATAACATACAAATTGTATGTATTCGCGAACAGATATTGTTCCCTAGCGTTTTAATGCTAATTCTGCTAGATGTATAGCCAATGAAGTTGTAGGCAGATAACTCGAAGCTCTAGTCGCTAGCCAAATTAAAAATATTTTAAATAAACGATTAAAAACGAAAAACGTCTGGCTGGACCCAGGAGTTCTTCCGAGGGTTAAAAATAAAAAAAATAAAATCTTTATATGCGTATGCGTAAGTGGTTTCAATTAAGTCACTTTTATTCCCGTCGCTTATCAATTTACCTCAGAATTAATCGTTGACGGTGTCGATGAATCTAATCGTTGCAAGATCAGTAATTCCATTGTTAATTTTAAACGTGTCGGCTCTGGGTTGCTTTTTCCATCACTCACGTTAACCATGCCCGTACGAACCTATTTATCAGTCAATACATAAGTTCAATTTTATGTTGATTCAAAAGAAGAAATAAGATATCCTATAGCTAAAAGCAACCTAAAATTGTATTGCAGTTGAAATACATATGGCGCCACAAATAACTGTCACTTGTCAATAATAACTTTGTGGTAATTCAAAAACAGTATAATTTGATCTCTTGAAAAGAAGCACAAAAATTACTGCATAAATTACAATCAACACACTCAATATTATAGCGACATCTATTATTAAAATAGCTTGTAGTAAACGCATTCATAGCATTTCACTGTAGTTGCGATGTTACCTAATAAATTCCCCTGTGGTATATAGTTAACAAGTGTCAAACATGAATGTGTCACTACTACAAGGGAATTTAATAAGAAACATCGCAACTACAGGGAAATGCTATAAATGCATTTACTACAAGCTATTTTAATAATAGATGTCGCTATAATGTTGAGTGTGAAACCGAATCCTTTGGCTGAGAAATGACTCGGTTTCATTGTAATTTATATAGTATTTTTTGTGCTTCTATGAAATCTATACGACCTTAGAGCTGATCTTAAGAGATCCAACAATGTTTTCGAATTCACCACAAAGTTATTGTGGACAACTGATTGTTGTTTGTGGCGCCAACTGTTTTTCAACTGCAATATCATTTTAGGCGAAAATTCCATCGGTTCTTCATATTTGACGGTACTATAATCAATATATTACTAAAAAAATTCAGTTTCACACTGGCAACCAAAAATACCTTCAAATTTTGCTCTAGCGTTTCCTCAATCGGTGTCACCATTTTCGGTACGTTTATCTTCATTTCCTAACATATGTACAAGTTCAAAATTAATTTCCTATCCTGAGGTAATAAAGGATATATATTTTGCTATAGGAAAATGCGAGTTCCAATATCAAGCCAGAATGGCTACAATGTCAATTGTCAGAAATAATATTAACCGATGAGAATAAATGGCAAACCTTAGCGAATTGTACGTTACATACAGTCTTAAATCCATTGAGAACAAAATAGATACTTCATACTTCAATAATTTTGAAGCCTAGTACAGTTAAACGAAAAAACATTCGTTGTCGTGAAAAAAGAAAACAATAAAGGTCTATCAAATGAAAGCTATGACATAAAAAATATTCACTCGTGGTACATTACTCTTTAACCCTTTTACCGTGCATCATTAGCTGACGTGTGCAAGGTCAAAAATCCTAGAGGTTGGTAAAAAAAATTGGCAGATGTGGTTCGAAATTTTCACAATTGGGTCTAAAAATTTTGTATTTTTTTGTTTGTTGGGTGTAGAGGTGTCAACGGACAAAATTTTGTCCGTCCGTCCAAACATTTTTTGAAAAAATTCGGACGTCCGGTCCAAATTTCCGGAAACTGAAAAAAAAATCGGACGTCCGGTCGGAATGTCCGAATTTTTTTCTTCGGACGGACGGACTGACAATGGCATTTGTTGGAACATTTCACATTTTTTGGAACGTCCGGAAAATATTCGCACGTCCGAAATATCTTCGGATGTCGGAAAAATATTCAAAGCCAAAAAATATTCGAGCCAAAAAAAATTCAATAGAAAATTGGATAAGAATACGCTTTTGGTCATTCCGGACGTCCGAAAAAATTTGAAAAGTTCGAACAAGTACCATTGTCCATCCGTCCGAAATAAAATTTCGTTTTACGGACATTCAGACCGGACGTCCGAGTTCTTTTTCGGTTTTCGGACATCCGGACATTGATTTTTGTCCGTGTCCGTTGACACCTCTGAATGGGTGGCGAAAAAAAGTGAAGACCTAAAAAAGGTCCTCACTTCTGAAAATCGATTCTATTTAGTGTAAACTAGTCAAAATCGCTCGAAGGGGGTTTCGAAGATTTTCAAATCCTAGATGGGAGGGG